GGGCTGCACCCTCAAGTTATCCACTGGAAGTAGGGAGATACTTCAATACTTAATGCCATGTCAGCATCTATGTATATATATTTCATATATAATTAATGTATATAATAAATATATAAAATAAAATATATAATAAAGTTGCAGATTAACAAACAAGCAAATAAATATCTTGACAAACATATCTAGTAAAAACATACACACCAAGATTTATATTATAAGGCACGTATCAAATGTATTCGTGATAAATATTTGAAAAGCGTTCATGGTGACATGTTACTGGTGGAATGGCAGAGAAGTTTAATAATATGTGCATTATTGCTAGAGGGGTAGGTCTCCTGTGGATGCGGTTCTTACAGCACCAGGTTATCTTCAGGATTGAGATTTATGACTGTGAACTTACCCCAACACCAGTACCTCCTAGCGGGGGGGTGGCTCAGCTGGCTAAGCCTCTGTGCCGACAATCAGGCTGCCAGTTTGAGCCCCGGCCTCAGCTAACCCAATGCTATAAGCCCCAAGCTTGCTCTCACCTGCATATGCGCCAGTCTGTCTCACGGAGAGCAAGACGGGGAAGGCGGAAAGTCAAATTCGCCGTGTATCATGTGAAGCACTGCTTCCCAATCCGGCCCTCGGGGACCCCCAGTCAGTCTTTTGCTCCCTCCGAGATCCCTGTCACACAGTCCACAATTTTGCTCCCTCAGAGCTGGGAGAGCAAAAACATAAACTGTCTGCGTGACCCCGAGAACCTCATTGGAAAACAGTATCACTGTTTTATTCTATACAACGGGGATCCTTACGCACTGCTTGTCATATGGCAACATGCAGGGAAAGTCACCCCATACTGGCCAAACACTTACTGACGATGCTAATTACACACAGGCATGCGTGTCAGGAACACGCCTGTCAAACAGACGCTCCGCTACCCTTGGTGTGACGGCTCTCACATATGTCAAGCGTCCCCGAGGCAACACGGCTCATGTGAGCCGAGGGTAAATACTCCAACAGCGAGAGGCAGCCGGAAAGTGGCCGGTGCCACGACGCAGCATGATAGTGGCATGATAGTGGCATGATAGTGGCATGATAGTGGCCTCATCTCCATCACGCAGGAAGCAGCTCCACTTAAGGGGCTGAGATAACACCATTATTCTTATGAATCGGGCCCCAAAGTACTTCTTACGCACGGTGTTAAAATCCACAGAAATTAACATGGCACTGGAACCTCAAAAGAACAATTAAGGTTTGCTGGCAAGGATTTCAGAAGGCCCATTTTCGATGCCATTAAGATCCAGGACCAAAACGAAGTCATAAAAGACTTAATCAAAACAGATTTTAAAATGAAGGTTGTTTTTTTTGAGGCGTAGCAAAACTTGGACACATGTTGAAAAGAACATCCATTTGTCAGTCTTCTAAGCCCTTATCCTGTTTAGGGTCATGGGAGGTGTGGTCTGGAGCCAGTCCCAGGCAGAACACGGCACAAGGCTGGGGGGCACCGTGGACGGGATGCCAGTACATCACAGGACACATGCAACCAATCATATTCTACTAGCAATTTAGAGATTCCAATTAATCTAACTGCATATCGTTGGACCGCAGATGGTAACCTGGGTACCCAGAGGAAGCTTGTGCCACACTGGGAAAACATGCAAACTCCACACAGGTGAGACTCAAACTCACAACCCTGCGGGTATGAGGTAACAGTCCAACCCGCGGAGCCACTGTGACTGAGGCGAAAGGTGACCTATGCATAGGCGTTTCCAGGACTGGCCTCCAGCGTGTTAATGGGAACGCAGGAGGCTGTAAAAGACTGTGAGAGACAGATCACATGTCTAACCGGGTGCCGGAGCCTCACCCCAGCACGGATTTCCCCGTCTCCTCAGGCTTGCGGACGGTGAAGGGGCTCGGGTCGACCCCCACAGTCTTCGGCATGAACTCCCTGCGAGACGACACAAAAAAGCACAAAAATTTAAGGAAAAGCCTTGGAGACAAGCTGTGCTGCAGCAAAAAGCTCAGGGGGTGAAAAGGCTGCATTCAAAAGATGACTGTGAAGATGACAGTGAAGATGACTGTGAAGATGACTGTAAAGATGGCTGTGAAGATGACTGTGAAGATGACTGTGAAGATGACTGTGAAGATGATTGTGAAGATGATTGTGAAGATGACTGTGAATATGACTGTGAATATGACTGTGAAGATGACTGTGAAGATGACTGTGAAGATGATTGTGAAGATGACTGTGAATATGACTGTGAAGATGACTGTGAAGATGACTGTAAAGATGACTGTAAAGATGACTGTAAAGATGACTGTGAAGATGACTGTGAAACAGTGTTGGGGAAGATACTCACAAAAGTAAGACATTACAAACAGAGGTGGAAAGTTCAGGTCCAGAAAATACAAAAATCCAGACCAAGGTTTTGTTTCAACCAACCAGTTGAGTACTCTGTGACTCTTTATATTCAACTGGTTGGTTGAAATAAATCCTTGGTCTAGATTTGTACTTTCTTTGTCAACAGGTACTGACTGGTTGAGTGTGAGTGGGTGTCTATTCACGGGTGTCTATATACACTGTCTATGCGCAGCCCACTGTAGACTGTCTTCTGCTTACACTTCCTGCTGTTCCTGCTTCGCACAGGAGAAGGGGCTCGGACACCAGCAGCTCATGTAAATCTAATGAAGGCCCATGCAGCTCAGCCTGCAAGGGACCTGCAGATGGTCTACGAACAGGTTCAGCCCGGGCTGAACTGGGAGGGGGCGGGGTTTGAAGGTCGGGAGGGTGACATCACCAGCCACCGAGGCAGGTGCCAGCGCGGGCCGACAGCAACCTTTCCAAAGCCTCAGTGCCCACATTGGGACTTTGGAATAGGCTCACATTCTATCCAGGTGATTGGCCAGTATCCTTCACTGCCACCATGAGGCACCTGTGAGTGACTAAAAGCTGACAAGATTTATCAGAGGGTTAAAGGCACGGCCATTGAGAGCAGGTCACAGCAGCACGGCATGATGGGAGATACCAGCTAAGAGGACAGAGAGCTGAAGGCACGGCCATGGAGAGCAGGTCACAGCAGCACGGCATGATGGGAGATACCAGCTAAGAGGACAGAGAGCTGAAGGCACGGCCATGGAGAGGAGGACACAGCAGCACGGCTAAATAATGAATCATTCTGACATAAAGTATTAGATTGCCAAAGAAAATGATGTTTAAATGATCTTCATGTTGGTGTAAAACTATGATATTATGCCTGCCAAAGCTGAGCTGTCAGCTTAGCCATTTCAAAATCTCCGCTAAAGTCACCCCAGTATTTGCTGCAATCATCCAGCTCACCCATGTATTTGTTGTTCACCATGTTTTCTTTATGTAAACTTCATCAGATTATTTAACTCATCTATTAACTTAGCTGGCAGTGAAATTTAAGAAACGCATGAAATGACTGGGGTGACTCTGAGGAGAGGCTAGGGAACTGAAGTGGTGTTCATCTCGCCATCCAGCAAGACATCGGTGACTTTTTGGAAAAGAGAAGAATCTCTTGTTAGTTTTTATGGTGTTACTGTTCATTTGCATATATTTTAATGTTAAATAGTTTTTTTTTCTGAGCAAATACACATTTACTGCCCAGATAAACTGCTAGACATTTCTAAACAGTGCTGCATATCTTATTCAGGAAGCCCTGGTGCCCATCACATTAGAGCCGGCGAGTCGGGCCCCGGAGGCCCCGCGACCGATGGGCCACACCTGGCAGAGTTGGTCATAGCCACACAGTAGCTGTCATCGAAGCAGGAGAGCTCATAAGGCCGGAAGAACTCGCTGTAGATGTCGATGCTCTCGTCGTAGTGGTTCAGCCGTCGACCTCTCACCCGCCGCTTGTTCTCCTCGCAGGGAGCTGCAGGGACACAGGTCACATGACGTCTGCGCGAATGCCGGAGCCGTAAGGAGATCCCCCGCCCCCCCCACCCCACACAGACTCCAGAACGTTCTATCACCCCAACCCCCCCACAAACCTACACATGTTCCCCTGAAACTCCACTCCCATTCCTGAGGCATCAAAAAAATAATTTCATTATTTAAATTTGACAATAAAATTAAGGAAACCCTAGCAATCATCCCTAGGGGTGTGACGATACAGTTTGTCCATAGTTCAGTATGTATCGCGGTTTTCAGGCCGTGGTAACGGTAAGGATTCTGTATTCTAATATTTAAGAAAAAAAACATATCACCCTTTAATTAAACAGTGAACTATTTATATTTTCCAAATAACTATATTTACCTTGGTTACATCATGTTTACTTTATCATGTAACAAAATGGTATATTACTGAACCATTCTGTATGCCCCAGATGATTCGATACGTACACGTGAACCCCGGTATTAGGATATACCTGACATTTTCCTATAGGTACTGGTGCGAATATATATTTTACCACAAAAAAATACATCCAAAAAACTGGGGTCATCTTATTTCCGAGGACTAGAATTTAAATGTCATTATGCAACAGCAGATTGCGTACCGAGCATTTCGATAACACTAGCCAACATCAAATTTGGTGTACAAAATCAAATGACATTTTTCAAACACCCTTCATAAACAAACATTTTCAGGATATTTAGTTTTGCTCCAGTACGTCTGGTTTTTCTGTGATTTTAACTTTTTTTCCATATACAATGCATTCTATACCTAATAATGTCATTTTGATAACAGTCATATAAAATCACCAGTAACCTGTCATAGACTATGTTTTAGTACAAACTAGTCAGCAGGGTTTACAGGCAGCTTGCAATTATGTAAATTTTCAGGCATGCTGCTGCGGTTCCACTGACGCCAACCTTTGTATGCAGAACTGTGGTCCACTTTCCGGTACCGTCACTCAGTACCGGAAGACGGACCACAGGTAAGAAGGTTGCTGAAGGACAGTGTATTTGCAACCAAAATGTCATCTGACTATGAGGTTCACGTCAAGGATATGATATGATATGTCGTTTTCAAGATCTTGGATGTAGAATGAGTGTCAAGATGCATTTCCTAGACTCACACCTTCATTACTTTCCTGAAAGTTTGGGTGAGTATAGTGAGGAGCAAGGTGAGAGATTTCACCAAGATATTAGTGAAATGGAGCAAAGAGACCAAGGACGTTGGAATGTAAATTATTGTTGGAGTTTGTACAGACAAAATCCTGATGCTTCATACAAAAGAAAATCATACCAGAAACAGTTTCGCAGTGCTAAGTGACCCGCAAAGACATGAAGAACTGTTTCCTTAATGTAACATTTGCTGTAATTTATGCTGAACTTTAATTGTAAATTGTGACAAAAACGGACGTGTGGCGGCAAATTGGAACCCATATTCTGAAACTACATGAAAAACTGTAGAACATGCAATTTTTTTTGTTAAATCACCTAACAAAAGACTTTTAAATGTCGGCCGGTGTAATATACCGTGACCCCAAAACGGCGATACATACCGAACGGTGAGCAAATGGTATTGTCACAAAAATGACGCATAACGACGAATACCTTCATCGTAGGGTAGCGGCAGGTACTTCAGCAAATCCTCCGACCACCAAAATGTGTAGCTGGGGAGACAGCAGCAGATTGTGACGTATCACTGCAAGCCAAAGGCGCATTCAGTATGGGGGACACAGCGGGTCAGCTACTAATTTGCGACGGGGGGCGGTCACGTTTGCTCTCACGTTTAGTGTCATGCACTGGACAGCGAGCGACGGCAAAAGCAGGTGTTTAGCCGTCACAGGGCCCAGGAAGAAAGGATGTAATTGAAATATGCAGATGTGCAGAATCACCCGTTTACCACACTGCGATGTGAAAGGACATAAGGGAGACTTCATTATATGATTAGTATAACCTGCAATCTGCTTGTAAAACATTGTTAAAAAAAATACCTACAAAGAACTGAGAGAGAATTCTTGGTTCTTCGGTGATTAGCCGTAACATATTTAGCTCATTTTGGGGGTTGAAATACATATAAACATACAGGTGGGGAGACACAGAGAGACATCGGGAAGTCATATAAACCGGTCGGCAAGTAACTGTAATTTCATCTCAGAGCAGATGACGGGGTTGAGGTGGAGGGTGGTGGGTGACAGAGGTGGGCGGCCCCTGGTCTTTGATTTTCTTATTCCCTGAGCTGTGACGTTAGTCTGTCTTTTGTCACCCTTCAGGCAGTAATACCGGGGGAGCAAATCCGGTGTCAGGAAAATTGTTCGATTGAACCTGCAGCCCAATTCTTATTTATTTATTTATCAATTATCATAATGGTGATGCCTTCATCATCACTCAATAGTAGTTTCAAGCAATTTGCTTGATTAGCCCTAAGCCCATTACGCAAGTGACTGACGGAGACCTTTAAAGCGCAGAACCGACCTGCCACACCTCTCCATTAACTGATTTGCAGATGTTGTATGTGTGTGTGGGGGGCAGTAAACATTGTAAATAATGAGGAAGGAACATGTTTTAAGAGGTGGGGCTGAGAATAACAGCATAGGAGGGCCGGGGGATGACTACACAGCCCAGTCACGGACCCCCTGAACTGTGTGTGGGTACCACCATGCTGGGTCATTACAGGCTGCCACCTCCAGAGGGCGATGGAACCCGGCGCTGCGGCACCGTAGTGTGAGAACAAGGACTGGCCTGATATTAAAAAATAATAATAATAAAATCAAAGTATGAGTCTGTTTCAGGGTGGTGTGGCAATATGTGTGGATGGTAGTAGGGGTGGGGGTGTTTAGGGAGAAAAAAAAAGAGGACAGCAAAATGCCAGGAATTGTTCACAAAAAAATTTGAAGCCACAGTGAAACTGATTTAAGCGCTTAACTCCGACATCGGTACCCACAGTGCTCACAGCAGCGTCCTTAATTCTGTACAAAACGTTGCTTTATCGGTTTCATAACAGAAGTCCCCTCGCAAGCAATGTTTCACCTCTCTACACGTATCTTCATTTTCTTTTTATTAACCGTCATAATTTTTTTCACCGTCTCATTCATTTCTGTTCTTGCCATTTTGCTATTAATTGCAATTGTAGTCATTGACTCCCAAAGGGCCACTAAGCACCAATATTTGGTGTTTTATGTTATGGCAAAGCTGTTCCTAATTAAAAAGCTCCCAATGAGTTTTTAATTCAGAATAGCTCTTTCAGGGTTTAAATTTACTAGTACCTAGAAATGAATGTTTTACTAAAAATTTCTGGTTGTTTCCAATGTGATATATACTTTTTGTAAACCGATGAATGAAGTTATAAAACCAATAGACTGAGAGGAAGGGGTGGCTTCGCTACCTTCTGCGCTCGTGCGGAAGCAGCATGGTGTTCTTCTGGTGCAGGTAGAAGTCGGTTGGCAGCTCCCAGAGGTGCGGACAGGACTCGGACGGCTGGAAGACCTGCAGGAACAGGTTGATGGCGTCCTGCCTGTCGGCGTCTGCAGGAAGAGGCGGAGCAAGACCCAGAGAGGGCCCGCCGGATTGGGTGAACAGACAGACTCAGATTTCACCTGTTCTGGTTACGGGGTCGGACTCGTGGTCATAATTTTCAGAAAAGCAAATGGACTGATCCACCCCACATGAATGGAAGGGCTGTAATCTAGGAAAATTGCATCGGATCAAAGTTCCTAAACCATCATCAATCATCAATCATCAAGAGCGACTTTAATCTCAGGCTTTTTTTTTTTAAAGATTCTCACTGGAGGAACGTTCCTCGAAGCCCATCACAATGTTTCCAGTCCTCAGAGATGTGCAGATTTTGTGGAAAAATAAATGATTGTGTGGGTTGTCTCTGAACAGCTACAGAACAGATTTTTATGAGCTGTATATGACCACTGGGTAAATGAGGGGGGTTACATTTCTCCCCAGTAATGCCCTCAGTTATCGGGAAGCTGATATCAGTATGGTCTCAGTACTGGGTTTGGGGGCTTAGCGTGTCAAAATGCACCCCTCCAGCACCTTCCAAAGGAAAACAGCACAACCACACCTATTCTGAGCTGAGTAGATCGGTCAGAGCGAGACACGGTGTCACTGTGAGTCCACCTCATTCATCTCTACTGGAAAAACCCTAATCCCAACTATGACGACCTTAACCATAAGTAACCAAACAAAATATTGTGTTCACAGATTTTTCTCGTTTTTTGTAAAGGTCAAAATAACAGGTTTTTATCACATTGTGGGGAAATCTGGTCCCCACAATGGAATAACTGCAAGAAAAAACAGAACCAGGAAGAGTCATGCTTTTCTAAAGAAATGAATTAGAAGGTAATACATGCAGAATCAGGTCAGACATTATCAAATCATCCTAGAGGGAGGAAGGGAGGGATGGAGGGACGGATGAGGGGAGTGAAAGGCGCCAGTCTCACGATCAGATAAATTACCAGGCATTAGAAACATAACCACCTCCATGACAAAGAAAGGCATCTTGTCAGAGGGCACAGTGACAGGAGATGCTGGCCTGTCTGGGCGGTAATGCTCTGGCACCCCCCCCCCCCCGTGCTGCCCCACCTCACACCGCCTCCATTTCAGAGGAAGGCTGGGAGATGTCTGCTCAGGTCTAGGTCTGATTGTCCCTCTTGATTTGGCCAGGGTTCTGACGGGGCTTTGGTCACAGACACGCGGGAGGTTGCATGCGGGGGGTGGGGGGTAACAACCACAGCCAGCTACACCCGGAGACAGCTACAACCACAGCCAGCTACACCCGGAGACAGCTACAACCACAGCCAGCTACACCCGGAGACAGCTAAAAGAGATAAATCCCCCTTCCTACTTAATCAGCTAGGGGAACACACACACACACACACACACATACACACATATACATAGGTTGGTAATTATATCTCTGTGAGGACTCTTCATTCATTTCTATGGGGAAAACTCTAATCCCAATATGACAACCTTAACCCCTACCCAGCCCTAACCTTAACCACAAGTAACCAAACAAAATACGAGACTTCTGTTTTTTGATTGCATTCTCAGATCTTTGTGGGGACCTGAAAAATAGGCCCCAACGACGTCAAAATAACAGGATTTTATTATTTGGTTTGCACAATATAATATAAACATAATCCACACACATACATACGTACACACACACACACACACACGCACTTTAAAACTGCAAGGGCGGCCTCAGCCAATCCTGGGCCAGCGAGCAGGATGCGGAAACCGCGGTAACGCTGCCGTGCTTCGATGGCAAACAGGGACACGATCTACCCATAACACCCAAGCAGCGTGAAGGTTTTACAGCAGCGGGAGCGCGGCTCTGCATCTCATAAACAGGAACTGGGAACATCCTCTCATACTCAGGAAATATCACACAGCGGGCCGCCAGCATTAAATGTCAGTCCTTGGCCGTCTCGTAACGGAGCCCACTGTGTAATCCACAGGCCCGGCAGAACGTATGTATGCATCTTTTTCAGACTCCCCATAAACGGAGTTAATGAAGCTCCGATTCAGAGCTCTGTCGTAACACAGAGCGGGCTTCGATTTCCAGGGCCGGGAATGTAATAAGAAAACCCACCGTGGATCTCATTATCGCTTATTTATTTGTTTTTAATGTTTTATTTAACACTGTAATCAGGAGAGCGATGTTCGCTCGATTACTGATTGCGTTGGTCTTTAATCCGCGGGGGACAGGTGAAAAGCGAATGCTGGCATTGTTGATTTTTTTTTTCCCATAATGCAAAGCATCTGTTGCTTAGAGGAGTCCTGGTTTCATGCATTTCCTCGTGCGTAACGTACGACACGGCAGGTGTCACCTGAGAAGGCATTGCTGTAGTAACGGGACAGGGTCTGCATGATGTCCTTGGAATGCTGGGTCCAGGGGGCGATCTTCCGGTAGGTCTTGACCCGGTGGACCAGCTGCGAGCCGCCGTACTGCAGTGACAGCGTGTCCCCGTGGTCTTCATAGAGCTCTTCAAAGAGCCTGGGGCAGGGAGGGGTTATACAACACCAGGCTCAGTCACCAGCTGGTGTCATGGTACGGCTTGCCACGCCTTTTTCTACACACGACCCACCCACAGAAGAGAACAGTGATACTCTATTGATCCTCGCGGGGAAGTTCTCTTTTCATCTACCCCGTCTTCCACTCCACGAGACGCGCCAAGCAAGCTTGGGGGTCACAGTGTGCGGGGCCCCTGGAGCTGGGGGTTAAGGGCGTCGTCAAGGGGCCCAACTGCCGCGTCAGTTTGCTGGCCCCGGGATTCGGCGACCTTCTGATCACAGGCTGAGCCACATACCACCTCAGCTGTGCTTCAAGATGATAGATGCTACCAAAATTCATCAATGACAGAATTGTACCTCAGTCATTACTACACCAGACAGGTCAGGAAAAGGTCTGTATCTGCCAATATCCATCCATCCATTATCTTACTCCATATTCTGAGCAGAATCATGGCAGGGCCTGGATCCCATTCCAGACAGCCCAGGGTAAGAGGCTGGGGGACACTGGATGGGATGCCAGCCTATTGCAGGCCATGTAATGCATACATTCACACACACACAACGGGCAGTGTACAGACATTAATTAGGCTAATTGCTAATATGCTCTATACAAACTCCGCACAAACAGAGCAGGGCAGAAACTCCGGCCTCCAACGCAGGGGGTGTAACCGTGCTACAAAAAGGGACTCAAACAAACTCAATTTACTGATTAAGAAGGCTGCCTCTGTTCCGGGAATCCACCTGGATTCCTTTGAAATCACCATTCAAAACAGAACACTCAAGAAGATTTGGTCCATACTGGATACCGCCTGCATCACGTCCTGGTCAAACAGAGAAGCACATTTCTAAGGACTTTTCTCCCAGCGGCCATAAGTGCCCCCCCCCAAACCCGTCGCTTCACTCAGTCACCAGCCCTCTAGAAGAGTATTGTATTTAAATGTTGCACACTTTATTTTGCACACTGCAATTGTGCAATACAGAATTGGGCCTTGTGTCTTTTGTACAGTGATATCATTTTTTATGTGTGCTGCAGTAACTTTTGGAATTTCCTTCAGGATCAATAAAGTACCACTACTACTACCATTAAGGTGACAGTGCTGTGCACTGAAACCGGGTCACCCAAAAAGAACAGAACCTCCCACTCCACCACCCTGCCCCCTGCGGGTCACTACCTGACGCAGTCTGTGTCAAACTGCAGCCTGGGTTTGTCCACCATGCCCAGAGCGTACAGCTGGTAGGCCAAGGCACACTTCCCCACCATGAACTGGGCTGTGTTGGTCCGGTCCAGGCAGTCCACGCAGTTGGTCCGGAGAACACCCGTCTGTCCCGGGACAGTAGAGGGAGCTATCAGTGCCAAACTGGGCCAAGTTAACGTACAACAAGCCCTAGACAAACACAACTACTGCACACTATGCAAACAGCCCCCCCACCGACCCACCAACACTCCCACAGGCCTTTGACACACACACGCTTACTGTACCCATGGGGGGGGGGGGGGTGCCGACGGATATACAGGCCCAGATACCATATTTATTGTATTTCAGTCTCCCACCAATCTCCTGTTACTGCCCCCCAAAGGAGAGCCCCCCCGCCGTCAGCAGACTGTACCTGCATGCGTCCGCAGGCAGTGAGGAAGCCTCCAAGATCGCCCCACCTGCCAGGACACAACGAAGCCATGTTTCAAATGGCATGTCAGAGGAAGCGGGGATCCCCTGGGGTTCCACCCAAAGAAAGCCAGTGGGGGCGGGGTTTAACACACCTCTCATCAGGCCGCAGGGTGTGACAATGCAGGTCAGCACGGTTGACAAAGAAGCCAGTCCGCCTGACCACATTCTCAGCGATGAGGCCAAGACGGTCAAGGACGTTGCACAGTTTGCTGGAATTGAGGGACACAAAGGGAAATTCACCATGAACTCCGGACTGTACTGAGGCCTTGTTTAAGATCTTAACCAACTTTGCATGGTCCAGACAACAACACAGGCTCGCAGTGTCCATAGCGATTACAAGGAACCTCGGTACAGTCCACGGTGACTGTGCAAAGCCTCGGTACAGTCCACGGTGACTACGGAAAGCCTCGGTACAGTCCACGGTGACTGTGCAAAGCCTCGGTACAGTCCACGGTGACTGTGCAAAGCCTCGGTACAGTCCACGGTGACTACGCAAAGCCTCGGTACAGTCCACGGTGACTACGCAAAGC